TGTCGACAGAGAGAGAGAGAGAGAGAGAGAGAGAGAGAGAGAGAGAGAGAGAGAGAGAGTAGGCTTTCTAGTTGTCAGGTGAATGCTTGGATTGAAGCAACTGGTGGAAGTCCAAGCTCCGTCATATGATAAAACACGCTTCACTGCATTGATGAAAGAACTGTAAGACATGGATAAGCTCTCACAGGAAATATAACTCTCATATCAAAGGATATCCAGTCCAAGAACAAAAGTAAATTACCTGCTGGTGAGAACCCGCCTGCTGATAGTTACCGTTACCAGATTAACCTCCGTAATACATGTTAGGGCCTTGGGGGAGGCGGAAGAGGAGGTGCATAACCATATGCTTCATATCCCTGAGTCAGTCCATACCCGTGATATCCACCTTTCCGCTGAGCTTGATCGGGTTGAGCCTGATTGTTAGAAGGACTACGGCCCCCAAGAAAGGTGGAGACTTTGTCCGCTTTGTGTTGTTCCATTCAACATGCCCTGTAGCGCGAAGAGGGTACAATACATGAAACATGTTCTCCAAAAATATAATGAAATTCATGAATCATGTCTCCCTCCAAGCTCACTACCTGTTGGCAAACTGAACAAAACCGCAACGATTCCCTGCTAGTATTTTCGCATGAAGTAATTCCTCGAATTGACCAAGAACTCACTTCCAGACATAATCTGTAGCTCGAGAACCCAGAGCCCCGACATAAATCTGGATTGAAAAATATGAGGCTCCTTCAGTTCACTGCACCAAATGAAATAAACTTTAAGAAAATTGAAACAAACTACGCACATGCACATGCACTGTTGTATTATTCAGATAACTTTCTCCAGGATTTCCTTTGGTATTATATAGGGAAGGATCTAATATATCCATCAACGCCTCCACACAAACCCATTAACATGGAAAGAAAGAAGAGAACACAGCTAAGCAGAGATCTCAGTTTCATTCTCATTTGCAAAGATCACCAACAGAGAAACAATGAGGAGGAACCTCAGCACAAAAAGGTAAGGCTTCTGCAGAAAAAACATGACTGCAGCTAATAAATGTCACTACTGCTTCTGAAAACAAAGTCAACTGGCCTAAGGTGAGGCCACGCTAGAAGGTGGAACCATTTGCAGCTGAAATTAGATCCAGGTCCCTCAAAAGGGAGCCTCTTGTTCTCCTGCTTTAAGACAACATTTGAGGTTTTTCTTACAAGTGTCTGCATATTTTATGATACTAAATGCTTCCCAATGCAGAAAGGGAAAGAACAGGAAGAAAACGAGGAGATGAATTCTGTTGATCTCCAAGAATAAACTGACAGAACAAACACTACCCATCAGAAAGAATTCAACACATAAAATTAGCAAAAAAATAAAAGAGAAAAAAGGAAATCAGCTAACATGTTCAACAGAGGGATAAGCACAATCATGTACTCATAAAACAGCTCAATCATACATTCATAATCATTACCAAACGAAAGCACCAGAAAAAGCACAAAAAAAACTCATCTTTTGAGAACACTATACACCTTTCCTAGCAGATATCTATGGAGAACGGTCATGAAAGGACAAGAACTCAACTGGCCACGAGATAGAGAGAATAAGAATCTATTACATGTAACGGGAATCATAGAACTTTTCGATGTTCCACGGATAAACCAAAAGATTTAAGCTTTTCATCAGGGAAATGATTTTCTTTTCTCCGGATATCAACCGAGATCGAAATCATCACACATGTGTTGTTACCTCGTCAGTGCGTTCCATCTCATCTCTGTCATTGTTACTCGGATTCCTCCCACCATCCTCTCCGGAAACATCCTCGGCGAGATCCCGCAAGAATTCGGCGACTTGTCATTCCTGAAGATCCTAGAATCTTCGTACTCTCCGGCTCAGTTAGATTAATCTGTTTGGTCCGGCCCCAAATTTTATTCAAACCCACCATCGCCATGCTCGAGATTCTTCAGACGGAATCAAGTGTTGAATTATAATATTTATGATACAAATTATCAACAATCAGAGTGGCGCAGCGGAAGCGTGGTGGGCCCATAACCCACAGGTCCCTGGATCGAAACCAGGCTCTGATATTATCGGAGTGGCTTCCTTTCTTTTCATTTTTTTCCTTTTATTACCATTTACATCGAATCGATAAAAAGGAAAAAACACGGACGTAGATGATTTCAATTTCCATTGAAAACTCACAGTAGTCATTACTCAATCAACCCACTGCAATAATCATGGAGCGTGTGCGTTGACTGCTGCTGATCTGATCTCCACGAGGAAAACCCAGTTTTCAAAACGATTTTTTTTGGAATCTTCGATCCGATTCGATCGATTTCATCGACAGTGTTGCTGGAAAGAGGAAACTTCGAAGGATTTTGCTTATTTGATCGCTGTTATTGGTAAGCTTACGCGCAATCGATTGTAAATTCATCTCTTGGGATTTTGGAATTCTCGGCTAAGGTTTCCTGGGTTTTGATTATGCGCATTAGTGTTCTGTTCTTGGGATTTGCTTGTTCGTAGTTGCCTGAGTGATAACAGAGAATAAAAAATCTCGCTTTCAGGTTGATTTTGCCTCAATCACCGTAGTTAGGGTTCCACGTTCAAACCTCTTTGTCATCTGTTGTTCTGGGTTTTGCTTAGAACATCTGGTTGCTAGAGAATGACTTTGATGATGATGATGATGATATAACCTAGGTTTCCCTTACAATTCTTTTTGTTGAACATGTTCGATCCATTATTGTTTACCTTTTTCAACTATTTCAAACAATGACAAGTAAAGCCTATAGTTTTTATTAGAAAGACAATGGCTTGGCTTACACATGATTCTTGCTACTAATGCTATGCTCCAACCCAAGTTATTGAATTGTTACAATGTCTCGTGTTTCTTATCCGTATCCAAGAGATTTTTTGCGGTTTATTAGCATGTCTTAAGGAGCTCGATTTTTCGGGTCTCGGTTTGTTGCATCATCTTCTTTAGCTTCATCTCATTCAAGCAATAGATATTAGCTAGAAACCCAGTGACAACCTGCCTTTTTCTGTGGTTCTATTGGTTGTTCTCCCGAGAGTTTTGATTTTTTTTGTCTCCTTTGATTGTTCTTGGAAAGCCGAGACCGTCTAGTTTCATTTGCAGTACTCCGATTCCATCATGAACGAGAGGTTGTGGATCAGAATGATCGATGCTTGAAAAGGCGGTTGAAAAGATTTTGGAGAAATAAAGTTTTCGAGCAGATTTAGAATTCTTGGACTCTTCACTCATGCTGTTATCAATAAACCATGAACTCTATGCAAATATTTGTCGAGTTTCATCGAAGTGAACAGATAGTTCTTATTAGGATATAACCTTCTGATGTTAACAGTGCTCAAACTGGCTTCTTCATCTCGTTGCTCGTAAATTCTGTGGCAAGCTTCTTATATGTTATTGCTTAGTCTGCTTCCATGGTTCTGATCTCTGCAGAGACTCTGTAACTTCGGATTTCATTTTCGACCCAAGAAGAAGGAAGAGCAAAACTCGACAGTATTTTCTCAGGCGGGACACCGTAGAAACAAAAAAAAATATCAATAATGGTGCAGAAGCTGGAATTGATCAAGGGAGGAGGAGGATCCATCAAAATAGGAACAACAGGAACAGTGGCTGCCCTAATGACACGAGAGCTAGACGCCATGGAGAGAACTCCACCTCAGACAGCTCCCACGTCGAGATCCAACAGGACAATCCCCGTCTCAGTAGATTGTGTTCCATCATCTTCCACTCCTAGAAGAGCACAAGCTAGGAAACCATCGGATGAAGCAAGCAGTAGCGTAAATCCTGTCAGAACGCCAAAGGGTTACCACCCGAAAAGCACTCATAGCTTTCCGATGCTCGGCTCTGACAATGTCTCGTTGCACGGGACCCCGAGAAGAGAGAAGAGAACTAACATTGTGGAGATCGTGGACGTGAAATGTGGAAACCCTGATCGAGCTTGGGCAAACCCAATAACTAGCAAGCTCAAGAAGCTCGGATTCTCGAAACTATCAGAGAATTCTGCTTAAGCTCGGATTCTCGGACATCAGATTGGCTGTAAGTTCTGTAAGATGAGATGACATTCTTGGGGTGTGGATCTTTTTCACATATGTGATGTTTTGGGTTTGGTTTTGGTTTCCACAACTGTGAATTCGATTAAACCGAACATCAAATGTAATATTGGTTTGGTTTGTATAAACCGAGCTTCATGTCACATCTTATAAACTTGTTTTAATCATTGTCATCCTTATATATATATATATATATATCAAATATATAAGTCTTTTTTTATTACCATGATTAGCAGTCATTATCATGGGCATGTCACTGGGGATAATATTTGTCCACGTGATGAAAACACCAACCCCCGAGTGGCCGAGTCTGAGACTGAGTTCGAGGCCGAGTCCTACCAACCATCCCTATTCTTCGTGATTTCTTCAGATTTTTTTTAATCGATATTTGGGTGTGTGAAATGACTAAATAAGATTAAATTTTGAAGAATCTATACGAAGGAAAAAAAAAACCCTCACATCGAACTCCTTTTTATCAGAAAATCCGTGTCTGAAAGAGAAGCAGTGATGGCCGCATCGGGTACGGCTGCAGCTTTCAGACCGTCTGTTTCAATTCCGCCTATTTCAGAGCAGAGCCATCTGAAATCGCCCTTCAAGCTCCCCAAATTTACATCTCTGCCATCGTCTCGCTCCAGGTCGTCGTCTTTCTCCGTCTCCTGCACCATAGCCAAGGAACCTGTCGTTGAAATGGCGGAGAAGAGCAAGCCCTTACCCGACCCGAAGTCGTTGCAACGACCCGATTCGTTCGGTCGATTTGGGAAATTCGGTGGGAAGTACGTCCCCGAAACTCTCATGCACGCTCTCTCCGAGCTCGAATCAGCGTTCTACTCGCTCGCCAAGGACGAAGATTTCCAGGTGTTTGATGAAATTCCTCTCTGACCCTTTCGTCGTTTTGAATCGATTCAAAAAGGGCATTCATTTTATATGTGATTATGGCGAAATCGTTGAAATCTACCCGATGCGTAGTTCTAGGAAATGAAATTTGCTAGCTTTTTGGTGCCTTAGTGTGAAACCTGTTCTTGCTCCGTTTGTTGGAACCTCAGTTGGAACAATCACTTCTATCAATTAATCGAATGATGTCGGAGACATGAATGGGATCGAATTCACTGTCTCATGTGATTGGTCATTCAGGCTGAATGCAGTTCTTGTGCTCTAATGCCTAAATGCATTGATGAAAACTGCAGAGAGAATTGGCGGGAATCTTGAAGGATTACGTTGGTCGGGAAAGCCCTCTGTACTATGCAGAGAGGCTTACAGAGCATTACAGGCGTGAAAATGGAGAAGGGGCTGAAATCTACCTGAAGAGGGAGGACCTGAACCACACAGGCGCTCATAAGATCAACAATGCCGTGGCTCAGGCCCTCCTGGCCAAGCGATTGGGCAAGAAGAGGATTATAGCCGAGACTGGAGCCGGTCAACACGGTGTGGCCACGGCCACCGTCTGTGCCCGGTTCGGTTTGGAGTGCATCATTTACATGGGTGCTCAGGATATGGAGAGACAAGCCCTTAATGTTTTCAGGATGCGGTTGCTCGGTGCTGAGGTGAGATATTTCTGATTCTTTTTTGTGTTTTGGCTCGGTGATTGCAATGTCAGTCCATCTATTTCATCCAAAATTGTCTCATATTCTTGGATATCTCGCATGTGGGCAATTTGATCTAATCTTATAATCTCAATTTCGTAATCAGTTCTGTCACTGATGCTTCAGGTCAGGGGTGTACATTCAGGAACTGCAACGTTGAAGGACGCTACCTCAGAGGCAATAAGGGATTGGGTGACGAATGTGGAGACGACCCATTACATATTAGGATCAGTTGCGGGACCTCATCCTTACCCAATGATGGTCAGAGACTTTCACGCTGTGATTGGGAAAGAAACAAGGAGACAGGCACTGGAGAAATGGGGCGGGAAGCCGGATGTCTTAGTTGCGTGTGTGGGTGGGGGTTCTAACGCAATGGGACTCTTCCATGAATTTGTCGATGACACAGATATCCGAATGATCGGTGTGGAAGCCGCTGGTTTCGGGCTGGACAGCGGAAAACATGCGGCCACCTTGACAAAGGGAGAAGTCGGAGTTCTTCATGGAGCTATGAGCTACTTGCTTCAGGACGATGATGGCCAAATCCTCGAACCCCACTCCATCAGTGCAGGGTAAGAAAACGAGCTCGAAATGGGTATCGGTTTTTTCTCAAAACTGAATATATTGCCCGATTTTTCTATTGGATTTTACAGCTTAGATTACCCTGGAGTCGGACCCGAGCACAGTTTTCTGAAAGATATCGGACGGGCTGAATACTACAGCGTCACGGATGATGAAGCATTGGAGGGTATGTTTATGTTGCATCAAAAAACCGAGATCTTTTCCATGCTTTCTGCACTTCTCGAAACAGAAATTAACTTTATTTTTTCGGGGGTCGGGATTCGGGTGCAGCGTTCAAGAGAGTGTCGAGATTAGAGGGCATAATCCCGGCTCTCGAGACGTCTCACGCACTGGCGTACCTGGAGAAGCTCTGTCCGAACCTTCCGAACGGGACCAAAGTGGTCGTTAACTTCAGCGGAAGAGGCGATAAGGATGTTCAAACTGCCATCAAGTTCCTCCAAGTTTGATCCTTTTATTATTATTATTATTATTATTATTATTATTATTATTGTTATTGTTCTGTTTTCAGACAAGTAGACTTTTGTTGTTTTCATCACAGTTTGTGTCCTTTGCGGATCCCGTAAACGAAGGATCAAAAATAAACTTGGAAATCTTAAGTTATGATCTTATAAATATAGAATAAGGGTTTCAGGTTGCGGTTCGGTATTTATCAGATTCGGTTTAGAACAGTTATTCGATTTTTATAAAAATTATACCAAATTAGAATTTAATGTTAATCGGTTTGATCCAGTTTTTGTGTATTCAAAATTGTTTTGTTATATTAATGGTAACATTAACTAAGAATCGAAACTAGATATCCACACGTACAATCGTACATTAGTGTAGTTTATTCGGATTTTAATTTAACATCTATCATATTCTTAGTTATATCAAACTAAAATTAAATATTATTCGATTCAATACGGTTCGATTTCTTTTCAAATCTGTTCGGAGCCAATTTACCGAATTGAAATGTACCCCCATACACACACAAACACACACACACACACATATATATATATATATATATATATATATATATATATATATATATATATATATATAATTTGTGTCCAAATATGTTTCTCGAGTAAAAAAATCATAGACAACCTTAAACTTAGAAGGCCAAAATCCCATCATTAGCACTAATTAATGTGCTTCTCTAGTAATAATCATTGATTTGGCCCAACTAATTGCGAATATATTTGGTGAGTGGCATGTGGTGGCATGTGCACTGCATCCTTCCGCCACACGTGAGGCACCAAAAAGCCACGTGTCGAATTCTACGATTGTTAAATTCCCTAATATGCTCATAAATAGGATAATTTAGTTTGTTCGGCAAAATTAAAAAAAAAAACCAAAGAGACCTGGATATAAAGAAAATTATCCTATCTCTCTCTCATGATGAATTGACTTATGGAATCTAATAATTTATAAATTAAATTGGATCAAAGAATATTATTGAAAAATGTACGCATAATTTAAAAATTGATTCCTTATAAATTTTTTAAATCTGAATAAATTAAAATTGAGTTGAATAAATAAACAAAAGTCTTTTTTAAAATAAATATTTTATAATAAAAATTAATATAGACATCAAACATAAATAATTTGTATAAATAAAAACTAAAATTAAAAATAATTGAATCTAAAAATAATTGAAAACTGAAATACATGCTACTAATTTCTTTATAAAATAAACAGACGTCACAAGCCTCTTTTATCTGTCAATAATATGTGTAAAGAAAACAATTGTCGAACTTTGAAGTATTGCGATAATTAGTTGATGTTATATCCATACCAAAATATGTTTTTTTAGATTGAGAAGGCATTATACATATATATATATATATGCATACATACAGATGTAGCAAGTTGAATTTATTTTTGTAAATTTTATAATATTTGTTATATGGATTAATCATTATAAAGACTGACAGATATATTTTTTTTGGTGAAAACTGACAGATATGTTTCCCTAACCCATAAACAAATAAATAATTTTATTCAGCCGGAAAAAGAAATGCAAGAAAAATACAAAGCATTTGACCTAATAATATATATATATATACATAATAGTACAGAAGAGTAATATTCTTTTGATTCCTTCTTATTTTAATTTGTTTTATGAATTGGAACCCACTCATTCTTCTGCGGTCGGGCTTTTTTTTTGTTTAGAAACTGTTGGGGCTCGTGTATATATATATATGAGTTATATATGATTATTAAAAACACTTTTACCGAAGGAAAATTGAACAAATTATTTTCGAAAAAGATGGAAACAAATATTTATCATGGATCATAAAAATATATATATATATATATATATATAGCATAAATGTTTTTTTTCTTTATATATGATATATGTATAATGTGCGTGTTTCGTATTTGAAGACGAATACTAATTTCTCATTCGCCGGTCACACGTCAGTCGACGTGTAGTGTTATAATTTATATATATTATAAACGCATAAGCATATATACATTTTTCCGGCGACGAAAATAATTATATTTAGAATGAAGATGAAAAGGACTTTGGGATGATTTAAGACCTTAGTTTGGCACACATATATATATATATATATGTATATATAGAGAGAGAGAGAGAGAGAAAATGCTTATAAAATGGAATAAAATCTTTGAAAGATTTTGTATTGACGAATGTCAAGGGGTTACAAAGTCAATGATACATTTATTATTCGTTTGGAAGTTGACATGCTCTAATTTTAGTTTGGATTTTTTTTATATCAATTAGTGCCTAATCTTTACGAAATTTAATGGGCTTATTTTCCGTTATATATAAACCCAAAACGTATTACGTATTTTTGTGTGTATATATATATATGGATGATCATTACGTAACGTTTTATTTCGATTCATTACACTCCATTCCAATGCGTAGTTAACGATGATATTTCATGGTCGATCCAATATATAAGCAGATTTAAATTAGAAGTACTGAGACACGTGTCATACACAATTAATGAAATTTAATATTAATTTTATGTGTATCTTCCATATATAAAATCAAAATAATACCTTTAATTTTTTTTTTTCTTATTATTGATTTTTGATATCTCCAATAATAATTTTTTCTAGGTCGTATATATTTGATTGTATATGTGTGTGTGTGTGTGTATATATATACTATGCATGTTATATTGTTATGTATATATGTATGTATGCATTTTAATTTAAAATATATAAATGTGTGACACTGAGTACCAATATATACATGCATCATTAAGTTGTGTGTATATATATATACACTCGATCACACACCATTATTAAGATGATAATCAATAACCTTAATCTAAAATATACAATTAATTGTGCAAGAGAATATAATTATATTGAAAATAGATAAGTGAAAAAAAAAGACACATATATAGTACGGTCTACGTGGTATAAAAGAATGAATGCCCAATACATTAACAAGAGCATTATACAATTAAACACTTCGTACGAATAATAATTATAATAATCATATACTAATATTAAATACGGATTTAAAAAGTAGAACCGGTTTTGATCTTATTAATGAAGTTGATTTATTCTTATCCAGAGTTTTGCATCTCGATCATCCATTTGGGTTTCCTACTAATGAACCGTTCAATTGGGATTTAGTAAAAGAAAATTAAAATAGGAATCTAATGACGTCTAAGTTCACTTTATTATAAAACAAAGAAATACGAAAAAAAATTATACACGAAATACACAAGTGGCATATTCTTGCTTTTATGGAGCTAATATATATATATATATATATATATATATGTATGTATGTATACACATCATGATGTAACTACCATATTTGTTAAGATTATATATATATATATATATAATATAATATATGTACGATAGATGAGTTTATTTATAACATAAGATACCTGTAGAAAATTCACGTCGGAGCATAGGTTTGATTTATTGGATAACCACTCGTATTTTGAGTTCCAACTCAAAATGAATATTTATATTTAACGTTATATATATATATATATAATATATCACCTTGCGTTTTACTTTTGGACTGGCTACTAATACTGTGTAATCAATTAGATAATTATGCACCAAACATTTATTTCATAATAAATTATGAAGTAATTATTGGATAGTTGGTGACTGGTTCTGGTTCAGTCTGCTCCCAACACATGAAATCCATCGAAAGATGGAAATCTAACAATATCGGTTTCCTTATATATATATATATAATCGTTTATATAGATTTTTAACATATAATGTAAAATGTAATATATCAAAATAGATGAAAACGTAAAATTAAAAAAAAAAAGTTTTTCGACTTGATTTATAGTTAATCTTGTATTCGACCAATCTATAGTTAATCAAAATGAAAGAAGATTAGTACTTTAAAAAAAACATTATGTTTGCTACCAATTGCATATTAATTACGTTTGAAAATTTCAAACCAACCTTTTAATTATTAGGAAAATTCCAAAGACAACAGTGTCCACAAAAACCAAGATTCCAAACATATATTCATATTCTCCACTCCATCATTGACGGCAACATAATTAATTCAAGTTCTTGGAATTATAGCCTCTATTTATATTTACAACCCCTTCGCAGGGGTTCATCTGTTGCCACCAAAATACAAACTCAACTCAAATTTCTTCCCGAAATAAAGGAGTCTTATATATATTTCATTATCCTTTTTTTCTGCTGTAATAACATTCATCATGGAAGACAATGCATCTGTTATGAGCAGACGTGAAATGGCGAAGCCGGACGGTGAAGAAGGGCCGGAGGAAAGTAGTTGGACGATGTACTTTGAAGATTTCTTCTCAGAGGACCCGAACATTCACCATCATCATGGTCATGATCATCATCACCATCATCATCATCATCATCATCACGACAACGACTCTTCTATGGTCTCAGACGCTGCTTCTTTTGTCGGGATGAAGAAGATGATTTATAACGTCCGTGTCCAGGAACCATCTTCCTCCAAGAAGAAGAGAAGCAGAGAAGTTTCCATCGCTTCTCCTGATCTGGAAGACACTGCTTCCTCTCCTTCTAGAAGCCCTAATGTCAGTCTCTCTCTCTCTCTCCACTATTTCTATTATTACTATGTCTATATGTAAATAGATATATTTTTAGAATTTTTCTTATTTTTTTAAGAAATATAAAAAAGTCATATATATATATATATATAACGTTATTTAAATACTCTAAAAAACAATGTTCTTATTAATACTATATTGAAATTTGATATTTGAATTAAGAGTAATTTTAATTTTTTTTAATCACAATCTAAAAATTATCTTATAAGTAACAAAAAAAATATTTTCTAAAATGATATAAAAAAAGAGGTGATTAGCAATCACTATTAATGCAGTAGAAGTAATTAATTAACTAACATGTGATGTGATTATCTCTCATAATGACAATTTTTAATGTTTTTTTATTATAATTTATGCCCTTTAATTAAATTTGATTAAATATTACTTTTAACAAGTCAACCCCTCTCTTAGTTCACACATTTTTAACAATTCGAAGACTTAAAATTTGGTGTTCTTGTGTAGGTTTGTAGCATGATGAACCTATTGGGCAACAACAACAACAGACACGAGCATGATGACACATGCAATGTAAGAGACATGTATTATTACACAATAGCGTGTATTTTATATGACAGTCCAATTATGTAATTGTTTTTTTACATGAATATTTATTTATTTCAGTACCTATAACCTATATATATATATTCTTGAAAATTTTCAGGCGAAAGGAAAAACGTCGGGGCAAGATGATGATGATGGTGATGATGATGATGGTGTTGGCTTATCATTAGACTTGAAGAAGAAAGGGCTGTGTTTGGTTCCTTTGTCTGTGGTCGCCAACTACCTCGGCTGATGTATTAATCAATCACACCATTTTTCATTTTATTTATTTTCCTAAATTATCATCCTTATGGCATGATTATATTTTGTAGATAAAATTTCCAACCATGTGTAACATGTAAATCAATTGTTAATATATAGATAATATACATATTTGCATTTTAATTATTTGACCTTGCTGTAATAAGCATTTCTTTTGTAACATGCAGTATCATATATTAAGGTACAAATACTACAGTTTCGGATAAATGGGTGCATGTGATATTCCAGAGATAACCGTATGAGTTCCAACACACTCCATAAAAACTCAGACAAGTGACAATGAAAATCACACACCTATATATACACCATATATTTTTTTTTATCTCTCTATATATATATACAAACACCATATATGTTATGATGTCGTTTTACAGTAAAATATGCTTAATTGTCCATTTCAAAAATCATCAATCTGATTGAATGAATTCTAGGGTTCAATAGAGTATTTAAATTCTTTACATGTATGTATTCGTGTGTTTTAAAGTATATGAACGAATAATAAAAAATCGATTTCATGCATTCTTCATTTCTCTCTTTTCTTTCCTAAATTTTAGCATTCTGAATAGAATTTAAACCAATAAATAAAACTAAACCCAAATTAAACCGACCATAAAACGATATGCTATCTTCTATCTTAGAATTTTTTTTCCTGTTTACTGTCGAAGATTCATCCAAAAAATGTATCCGAATAATTGTGATATATATATATATAGAGGTCTAGGGGTGTAAAATGGGCGGGTCGGGTCGAGTTCAGATCGTGTTCAATTCGGACCTAGATTTTTTCGGGTCGGACCGATCCGCCCATTTATTTTTCGGGTCTATCATCAATGGCCTGGAATCCGATCCTACAGGACTTCGGACGGGTTCGGACCGGACTTCGGGTTTTTTATTAAATAAAAATATTTTTTTTGTGATAATAATAATAATGATAATAAATAATAATAATAATAATACTAATAAAAATATAATATAACGTCGACTACAATTAAAAACTTTTAAATTAAAAAATAACCATATAAACTTTAAAATATACAAATTTATCTAATATTTTTTAATATATATAATATATATTTGGTATAAAAAATATTGATATAAATTTAAAATTAAATTCATAAAACAT